CTCAAATGCTACATCACTTGCATGCTGCCTCCTGACCTATAAAACCCAATTCACACCCTACCCCCTTTTATTTTTGACCATGCACTTTCCTTGATCTCTGACATACGTCACGTTTGTACAGAAGATTAAAGATCGTCTAGACTCACAGACCTCTGTCGGGCCTTAAAACCTTCTTATGGACTGCCAGCACAGCCACTCGGGACCTGCCTTTCTACACAGAGTAGTTCCCTGCGGAGCGCAGAAACGTTCACTACAGTCCTGCAAGCCGTCAGCAGGATGGAGATCACAGCATCCACTGCCTCGTATCAGGACTCTTTTCAGATATTTTGAAGAGCCCCTGGGAAAGTACGAGGTGGAGCAGAAGATAACATGGCTGTTCTCTGCTGCCTTAGCTGTCAAGGGAGTCTTCACCTCACCGCGCTTGGGCACCTTTAATTCTACTGCGCCTTCTTGGATAAATGGTATTTTGAGGAAGAAACATGTGACTGTCAAAACAAATGTCACGCAATCGCTCTGTGGCAGAACCGGTCACAGTCTTTGAACAAGTCGGAGAATAAGACCCAACTGCATGGGTGGATGCAGTATTTCTTCCGCTTGAAGCCTTTTGCTAGCAACAATGCTTCCAATTTAGCATTACGACTACATGCAACCATGGCAAGCTAAAGCAGCCAAAAAGCAGAAATACAAAAATACAGACAATGGTTCTTTATAATAAAAGAAACAGCACCTTAAAAAAAAAAAATTAAAAGAGAGATTATTTTTGTCATTAAATAACAGGTGAATGCAGAAAAGCACCTGGCCAAACGCTCTCCATTTTGCCCCAAGCAATATATCACTTACCTTTTGGTATGCTTCTCTAAAGAAATAGTAAAGCGCTTTGATTCAAGTTATTGGGGCAGGAAGCCAACACCATGTTTTGAAATTACTTTCAAGACTTCCAGAAAGTACTGGAAGCTCCCCGCATTTACAGAAGCAGCTGTGAGCTAGAAAAATGAAACTACATGAAAATGTAGTGTAATCTCAAGGCGCTATTTTTTTTTTTTTAAATTTGTTATTATTTTTTAACCCGTTTACTAAAACGAAGCTCTTCTAGAAACTGGTGAAAGAAGACACAGGGTATGTCATAGCTCACCACAAGCTCTCCATGGCTCCTGGCCCAGGCTACTCCTACAGGTGGGAAGACTGAAAAGCCTCAGGCTCTCCCAGCAGGGGTGCACAAGTACCCTCCTCAAAAGAATGTGCATGTAATTTAGTGAGTTTTAGACCTATTTATTACCTTCATTTAGTTTACCCATGTTACTGATTTTTTTCATAACTCAGTCCTTTGTCACAGTCACTACTTCTATGTAACTGTACCTATTCTTAAAAATTTGGAAAATTTTAACAATTTAATAAATTATCCAGAACACCAGGTGCTTATATCAGAGCTGTGGAGACACACACATTACAATCACTGCTGCCGATAGACAGATTGTCAGTTCCTTGCTGCCTGACACATTATTCTTCAAAGACAGCAGAAGCAGAAGTAACTGAGTATGTGTTTCATCTCAGGTTTACAAAACAGAAACAGCAGAGGGGAGAGCAGGCTATATGCAAGAGAATGGCCACTGCCATCACCGAGCCCTCCAATTTCTACCCTTGTCAAACTATACTGCCTGCAGGCAGTAAGCCCTGAAACCAAAGAAAAACAGTGGAGATTCTAAGCATATACATTTGACAACAAAAAGCAGTGCATTCTTTCTTTATGTACTAGTTTCACTGCATTATTTCTTTGTCAAATGCATTTTTAGCACTGAACATAAACTTCCCTGGCCCACACAAACATTACTAAGCTAGAACTAATGCTCACGTGAAAGCTGATGGTGATCTTTCTCAGTAACAAGGATAGCTACCAAAAAGGAATTGTTACTTGGAGGCAGTGCAAACGCTGTTTTTGCGGCAATCTGTAACCAATAAAAAAAAAAGATACGGCAGCTTCTTCAGACAGAACATGAGATGGGCCCTCATGTACCTGGAGACCTTATCACCAACACAGCTGATCTCTGCAGTAATATCACCTTTCAGAGAAGCAGCAGTGGTCTTCAACAAATTCTTGAACTAATGGCATATTAAAAAAAGGAAAAAACATTTAAAGGAGCAATACCCAGAAGGTAACTATTTTATGTACCATTTCCTCCCTTTCTACGTCTGCCTGAGTTTTATTGAACACACCAGGCAACTCAATACTTTCTATGCACTAATTTGTAGCAGACAACCACTGTGGTACATTTATATAAGCAGAAACAACCTGGTAATGGAACTTGCTACAAGAACTTGAAAGCTGGAAAAGCAACACCATAGAATATAAAGCACGCACTCATTTTAGTTAGGTAAGGGTCCACTAAAACAAGAGTTTTGTCCTATTAGTTCAAAAGGAACTGCATTTTTATTTTCTCAAGGGTATTTCTGAAAGGAGTTATTTGCTTGGAGAACTCAACTACTGAAACAGGAATATGTTACCATCCTGATGTGTCACCATATCTGCTCTTCCTAACAATGGAAGACTCACAGTAGTACACCTGATAAAGTTTGAGTGAGCCAGTGTGTGTGTGTGTTACTAAGATAAGACCCTCAGTGACAAATCAGAATCATTACCATCCTTGGTAGCTCAAGATCTTCACAAAGTTTTTTTCAGCCCCTAAGCATTTACTACACAATATTTATGTTTGGGGACAGTTTTACTTTAGAATTACTTTACCTTATACATTATATTAATCATACTATTTTACAGTGGCAACAGCTTCTAAAAGTCTACAGGCAAAAACTATAGCTAGTCACTCTACGCTCATTAAGAGGTATGTTAGTACATCTAAAAATCTTTTCCCTGCTGTTAGCTAGGTCTTTCTAGCCGTAAAGCATTTGAGGATGGGAGCAATGCAGGAGCCTTACACGCCACTTAGAATGTGAAACACTAATTCAGTTTCAAGAAGAGAGATGCAAAGAGCAGCAATGCTGCCCCAGCAGACATCTGTGCGACTGCTTTGCACTGCCAACAGCAAAAGTGAGAAGCTTTTCAATATAGAAATTTACTACTTTTGAAGGTCAAACATTTTATCAGTAAAATACACAAACTGGCCAGTCAGGGAAAACATTTTAAAGCAGTTCAGTGTTTATTTTGAGAATATTTTCCAGTATCAGCTTTCATCAATCTGTTACTGTCCAGTATTTCTTAAGAACTAAACAAAACTACTGTCTGGTAACACAGAAACAATTAGACACAAGCAGAGAGCCAAGGTCTTGAAAAAGGCCATGCCTCATTTTCTGAAGATGGACAGCCAGAATGAGACATGGTACTTCCCATTTCACACTGAGATCATCTATAGCATAATGATACTATCTACTTCACTTAATTACAGGCTGTTTTCACTCAGTGGTAACAATACTAATTTAAAGGTTTAGTTAGTGAATATTTTGGATCATCTGAATATTTGCCATTGAGTTTTCCCCAAAATGAAGTCAGCCATTCTCAATGTAAATACTAATTTTTCAAGCACATAGTTTTAAAAATAGGACTTACTCAAATACAAAACAGTGCAGACATTTGACCTAATGTTCTTTAGTTCCCACTTCTGCAAGAAAGTTAGTTATCTTGTCTGAAAACTGCACAGAAGGGAAATAAGTTCCTTCAGCATTTACCTCTATTTCTGATAGGCTGGCTGATAAAACTTTTTAGATTAACTCAAAAGTCTAAGCTATTTATTAGTGATTCTCTGTACAAGTATCTCTTATAGACAGATTACAACAATATCCTCTTTGTTTCTTAAGAACACTGGTCACCCAAATAATCATTACTTTAAAGAAAAGTAAACCCAGTACGCACCAGATTCAAGAGATTAATTTTTTAGTATAGCTTTGAAGGGGTCCTCTAAAATTTGGGCTTCTTTTCAATTTTGTTACTGAGGTTGTTACAGCTTCCTCAGACTCATAAGTCGTCTTCCACACATTCAGCAGTCTAAAATATTTCCACATAAAGCTAGTTTTCCTTTTGCGTTATGACTTTGCTTAAGCTACCGTACTCTATGAAGGCAAGGAAATTTTCACCTACTACACTTTTGTGTGAAATTTATACAAATTTCAACATAAGCATGGCACCCAGCTCCTGTGATAAAGCAAACATATCTTAAAGAGCTGGCTTGAATTAGCAGTTCCCTCCTCCCATTTGGATCCCAAGGAAAATATATATATTGTAACCTCACAGCCCACATGTTAAACACCTTCCCATGACTGCCCCATGTGGCCACTTATACTTAAGCATTAAGTGGCTCCAACGTCAAGTGTTCTTCCTTGCTTTTACAGACTGAAATGAGGACTTAACATTACCTACTTAGTAGTAAACACTATTTCTTCAAACTAATTCTTCCTTCATTTGAACACATTTGTAAGAATTATTCTATGTAAAAAATTTGTAAGACCGTTGCATTCTTCAAGTAGGATTAAAAAGCAGCATAATATACAACTCATTCTTGTTGTAACAATTAATTTCTTCTAACAATGTTTACATCAAAAGCAAACACCTAAAACAGTTAACTAAGTTATTTTTCACTTTTAGTTCATACAATGAAAACGTGTACTGATCCTGTACCGGGCGTTGTTATGGCTATAAATTTGTATTCTATCCAATGCTTTGTGTGCACTCTCTCCATCACAAGTCGGCCAGCTGTCTTCTACGTATAAGAACTAAAACTCACACTTCTGAGTGTTAGCAATTCTGTTTCATTTTTTCATTAGTAACTACAGCAATAAAATTTAAGCCTATGCTTGTATTTGGCATTGTTATTATGATGTTTTAGTACGGTTAAAAATAATCCTAGGATTCCTTCATGTTACGGCTATATCATAGGATAAAAATTATTTTGTTAGAATTTCTAAAACTATGGTAATTTTCCACTAATCAGAAATTGGGAGAGCTATGTTATTTTCTTATATGATAAAAATCAACTTCTATTGGACATTTTCCTCACCTTTTCTGTCTGGTTTGAGGTTCCGATCCACTGGCGGTGGCTCACATTCTGCAACAGGTACTGACCGTCTGGGAGGGGTCTTTGGACTGGACCTGAAACCCATGTGAGCAGGAGGAGGGACTTGCTTTCCAAATAACGGAAAATCAAACGTGCCTGGTGTCATTGGTACATAGTTTGTTTCCTGGATGGGTTCAGTGAAGCTGCTGGAATGCTGTCGTGGAGGAGAGTTGGGATTCATTGGGACATAATTTTCATCTAGTTCTTCACTTGAAACACTTCCCACTGTCAACATGCTTCTGTTTTTCTAGAATTAACATATATTTCCTTTAACAAAATAAGTTATGCAATCAGCTGTGAATCATAAGAGTTTTTTAACCTAGTCTACTCAGATTAATATATTCTACTGAAACTGAAAAATCACAAACACTGTACAGCTTGCTTTTTTATATGGGAACAAAGAGCATTCAAGCACTGTAACTGTCGCCTCTCATCAGATCAAGTCATACTTACAAAGTGGTTATGGAAGCCCTCCAATGAATTAGATCTGTCATTCGGAAACGTTCGTGGAATATCATAACAGTCTTGAGAACTAATTTCTAAAGAAACAAGAAGAGAAAGTAGCTATTTATCATCCCTGTTGCTGTCACTTGGCACCAGGCATCCAGAGTCTGTTGTTACTTACTGTCTGCTTCTGAGAGCATACAAACACACCTCCTGAAGCTGTGGCCCATAGATTTTTACCTATATACTTGAGAGGACTGCGTTCACAAACAAACTTAGCACTCATCAGTCACAAACTGAAGCTCTTCTAGTGGCATTTTCCCATGGCAAGAAAAGAAAAAGTAATTTTTCCTTTTAAAGCAGCAGTGAAGTCCTCCTTTCAAACAGGCAGGTGTACAAGTTTAGTGTAAGAGTGGGTTTTGAGATACTGGGTCCTCATGAAAAACCTATTCTAAAACAAACAGCAGATGTAATTTAGGGCCTGGAGAAAGGTTTTCTGACTGAACGCCTTCCCTTGGGAAGTGCTGATTCAACAGGATTCAATCTGTTGCAGGAACAGGTGAATCCCTGCCCTCAGCTCCCCACTGTGGTCTCCAGGGGTTTTCAGTTTGAACGAACTGCTACAGAACTGAAGATCTCTCCATTTTCAGGGTCCTGGCTCTTGGCAGTCCTTATTAAGAAGATGCTCAGCTTTGTGGCTGCTTCTCTGGTGGACAGGGCTGTTTGTGAGGCATCTGGCTCCCAGGTCCCGCTCACCCATGCAGGCGACAGGCTGCCTTACCCTGCGACAGGCATGACCCTCCTCCTGATGCCAAGACAGAAACTGTGGGCAAACTCTGGGTTTTATCCCCGCCTTGCCCTAAAAAAAAAAGCTTTGAAGTTTTTTGGAGACTTCCACCTCAGAGGAAAAAATAAACACTTCTGCCATTAAGCACCAAATTAAAACAGTATTTTCAGAAATGCTACTTTTCCTGAGGCTGACAATCTCAGCTTTAGCACAGGAGTGCTGACTTATAAACGTAGCGAAATGAGAGAAGATAAGCAAAGCAAAGCAAACAAGGGTCTTTCAGGGTGTTATTTTGTCATTTTAAAACACTAACCACCACCAATATTATTACACTTAGCCTACAAAATGAATGACAAACAGGATAATACTACCTGAGTACCTGTACGATCACACATCCATTCTGTACATTGCCTCCTCTAAAAGCTCTGTCCCTGTCCCCTTCCTCATTTCAACCTCTCATCGCATACATAAAACAACTCAAACAGTTTTCCTTTAAAGTCACCTCTAACATTAGCACCGACTCCAACCAGTCTAAAATTTTGCTTTAAAAATAACACTGTAATGCCCACCTGCCTTAGGAACCTGAAAAAAATGAGACTCTTAGCCCAAGAGTGGTTAACAAGATTAGAACAACTGCTCTCTCTACCAATACATATCAGCTTCCTAATCTCCACCCAAGAAACATCAAATTCTTTAAGTAAAAGTAGTTCCACCAGATTTGCTGGGACCCAAAATACACCCAGCTACCAAAGGGAAAAACAGTAAAAAATATGCACTAGCACATCTGGAATACCAACATTTAGGTGACTATAAGGAACAACTTTAATTTTACTTAAAAACTGCAGTAGCGTATGTATCACAAGGAGAGAAATAAAGGTCAGTGGCAATGATCACCAGATCAGGGTTGATCTCAAAGCTGTGGGTACACACCAAGTCCCACTGACCTTCACGAAACACTTTCAGCTTCTGCAGATTTGGACCACTATACACTAACCTTACTTTGGTTGTTCTGAAAGACTGGTAATGCCAGTACTGAACTCAGCTATATGAGCTTATAAACAAAGAAAAGATGATTAGTTCTTCACTGCTATTTTCTAAAGACGAGTAACACCATAAATATGTCTAGGTCTTCAAATATTTTTAGCTAAGACCGAATGCCACAGTGCAATATACATCCCTTATCGACGTTCTGTGTTTTGCTGGTTTGATGGTTTCCTTTAATAATCTTCTCTTTTTTTTCCTCTTTCTTACATATTTTAAGCATTGCAACCACGGACCACTTTGTTAAGGGCTACACGCTTGTTTTTAAAGGCTAGAAATGCCCCTCATATCATTCAGCTCATTCGTATCATTCATATCACATCATTCATCACAAAATTACATAGTTTAACACAAAAATTCTGCAAGAGCAGGATAAAATATGGAATACTGACCTTTACGAAAGATATTCAAATCTACAGTTGAAATGGTATTACTGCGTGAGGGTGGCATTTTTTTTGATGCAGTAACTACTATCAGTGTCTGAAGCAGTGCGACTAATGCTACATGTTTCCACAGGAGATCGATCTGCAGCGTGGTGAGGTTTTGGTGGCCGAGGTGGAGGAATATCTGGAATAGTCTCCAGTTTTGAAGTCTGAGACAACGTTCCCTCTGGGAAAGTTCGTGGAATCTGGTAAGTACCTCCAGGTGTGGGGGGAATGTCATAGCTAATGGAGATGTGTCTCATCTGTGCGTCTAATGAAGATGTTGACGGGGTATTGAAAATGTGTTGCTCTCCTTCTGCATCAGTCCCAGATGGAGACGCTGCCTTCGGTAAAACATCCTGTGAGTAACTCCTAGGCAGGTTATAAAGGCTGCAGTCTGCCAGCGTCAGTCCAGTACGAGAAGGCGGAGAGTCATAGACACCTTGCTGCTGAAAAAAGCCATTCACAGCATGCTTGCTCGCTGATGGAGCAGGATTTTTGTGGGAGGGCACGTTATCATTGCAGTCTGTTTCAGAAGAGCTGGATTTTGCCGAGTCAGCATGAGATCTACACATAAGATTGTAGGATTAAAATGTTGATGAACATATAAAGAAAAACAAACATTACGAATAATAAACACAACACTTAAAATGTAAACAACTAAAAAGTCTATCAGTCTCTTCCAATTTTTTTTTTTAAATGAAATGCACGAACTCAATTATTAAACAAACAGCAGTACTTAAGGATCCTAAGTAACTACATACATACAAATCCATGCATGTGAAACGGGTAACACAAGTGTGAAGCTTTAGCAGCAGCTAAACAACAAGCTGATGTTTCATAAAGCAAGTGATTTCCACAATGCCAATTTGGAGCAGAGTTTGTTTGGGGGCTGGGGCATGTTTGGTTTTTTTTTTTTTTTAAACCCATGCTGCAGCACTTTAATGGCACTGTTGAAGGCAAAAATAACACACTCAAATCCTTGGGTTTACAGTACTTGCTAGTTCTAATCAGTGTGAAAAAAAGTTGGAGGAAAAAATACGACTGCTTGTAACACCCTGAAGTGCATGCCTAAAGTTATCTACTGACCATGTAAAACTGGTTCAAAATACATAAAGGAGAGAGAAATAACAGATAGGAACAGAAATAGGAGGAAGATAGCACACTCTTTGGGGGCGTGGGGCAGAAAATCCGTAGGATGTATGTACAACAGAGTGCTTTTGTCTTGAATGCAAGTTAAGGCAGTGGTGTTAGATAAAACTGCACAGTAGTTTACCTTTGATTTCTTTGGAAATTCTATCTTTTACGAGACTAGCACTCATTAATACTGGTACTAACCAGTACCAGTAAACTTATATGGAAAGTAAACACATTGCAATCTTTTTTTTTTTTTTGTAAACCTCCCCAGTTACCTTGCTCCAGGCAGAGAAATTCTGTTATCAGCCTGACTCCTTGCTTAAATGAAAGTCAAGAGAGTGGCAAAATACTAACCCAGGTGGAATTAATGCAGTCCATACACTTTTTGATCAATCATACCATGATATTTCCTATTTTCATTACCACAGTACCATACCATTGTGTTAATTTATACATACGTATGTAAATATTTCAGCATGCATGTGTATCAATGAATAGCTGCTATACTACTCTTACTAAGCTCTTATTAAGCAACTGGACCATGCAGTTTACAAAGCTTCTGAGGAATAAAATACATAAAAATCAATGGCATGACTACCACAAGAAGCATTTTTTCCCCTTATTTTAACAGGCTCTCTACCTCAAAGTGATCACAACCAGAATTTATTATTCAAATTTCAATTTGTTGATAAGATCGCACAAAACTTTCTTTCTTAAGGGACAGCTGGATTTCTCTCCTGGGGTTCTGGTAACCTGAGGAGAAAGGAATCCAGTTTAGCTATTCATTTAGGTTTCCTCTGCAGTCATTGGAAAAATGGCGACTGTGTGAAACACAATCCGTTCTTCTTAGATATCCATCTAAACCTGATGAATCACTCCCAAAGTGCCTCTCTGCCAGCTATCAAGGGAACCGATGTGATTAGCTTCGACTGGACATCTGCAGTCAAGAAAAAATGTCATTCACCTAACCAACTACTTTTTGTTCTGTTTAACAGCAGAGATACAACCCTCTGTCAGTCTCAGTGGCTTATGACAGTTCTTCTCCAGGTTTAATTATATCACCTTTTTGTATTAGCTTGTTCTCGGTTTTTTGGTGTGATTTTTTTCCATTAGAAAAATTACACTAATTTTGCTCTGGTTACTATTTTAAATCTATGTTTTAATTCCTGTCTTACTGGTCAGAACTGGTTTCTAGGTGACTCTGAACATTAATCTGCATTTAGTTTAACAGACCCCCCCCAAAAAAGAAGGGAATGTTCTCATTAAGCATTTGTCCTTGGCACAACCAAGTGAAACTTCCTATATTCCTTATGGTGCTGACCATCAAAAACATCTCTCGCTTGCTAACAGTTTACTTCCTTTGCCTCAGAGCTTCAAAAATTCACTAATGAACCACTAGAAGTTTAACACACTTGCAAAAAATAGAGCACAGAGGACTGAAGGAACTACATGAGGTTACAGAGTGCGTAATAAATTGTGAACATACTGTTACATACATTACTAGTAACACTCTGAGCTTAGCCCCTGCTGCAGCCCTTGTTCTTTACTTGAAGGATTCATTCAGGACTCCTCACTTCCCAGACGTACTCTTCCAGTTCTGTGGTACTCATTCAGACCAAAATCCCAGCAAAATTCACGTGTGTTTCACATGAGCAAGTATGGCAAGGACTGTGATCTGTATTTTATGTGTTATAAAAATAAAGTGGGCAGTCTAGGGAAGCTGGACGCTGACAATCAATTGCCGAACCAAAATTATTATTTCCAGTTCACTAGGATATACTTTAAAATGAAAAAAAATATTCCAAAACTACAGAAATAAAATATAAACACTACATCTATCTTTATAAAAACCAAAGCTCAAAATGCAACAACAGCACATGTACAATGCCAGTGCTTAAGGATTACCCATCACATGTAAGCAACAAATGCTATCATTTTAAATTTAGGAGTTTTTCCTGGGTCTAAGTGAATGCTGCTGCTTCTTTCTTGACCACAAGCACTTGTGAAAACCCGAAGACTTTCAAAAACCATGACACATGAGGCAGCCAGGCCTGTCATTTGCTTAGCTGATGGCAACAACTTACATTTCTCATTATAAGAGGGCATTTCTGATTTATTTCACGTTTTTAAAAGTGATCTTTAGGTATCAACTTCTTAGTCAATTGAAATAGTTCTCAAAATATGAATGGGTTGTAACCAATCCGATTTTGCAAGACCGAAAGTTTGAAGACAGTCTGAAACATGGGCTAACTGAAAGCAGTTTATGCCAAAATATAGAGAGGGAATTCAGCCTCTGAAGTTTAACTAGTTTTCAAAAGTCAGTATTAAGCACTGATCGTGATAAGAACGCCACGTGCAATTTTGAAAAACTACAGTGCATAGTTGATTCATGTTACCTCAAGAAAATTTAGGTTAGGACTAGAGTTCAGGGACAGACTTTACTCCTGCTTTTTTTTTTTTTTTTAAAGGATTTTAGATGCAGGGTGCTTGATGCTTCTGCACTAAAGAAAGTTACTTGAAAATTTTAATTATTCCCATGGACTTCAGAACAGCTCAACAAAAAAAATCAATTGGCTTAAATATTCCAATATTAAGGTATTAATTTTTTTTTTACACCTCACTTTAAAATAATGGCAAAGTTGGATACAACACAATGAAAACTCCTCACTCTATAAGCACAGGATGACTGTGACATGAATTCAGCGTTATCACATGTGGGCATCACATACCTGCAAATTACGCTAAGTGGCCAACCTATTCCTTACTCAGTGCTAAGGCTGGACACCTCTTTCCACATATCAAGAAGAGATAACCATACAGCCTGCCGATCTACAAGGACTGGACATTAAGATGCACAGAGAAGAGACAGGGTATTGAGGCAGGGGGAGCCCAATAAAAAGCCTGCCTCCATGTACTAAAAACTACTTGTTGACAGAGACCCAGGATAAAAGTTTTGAAAGTGTTTTACTCCGAGGGATAATCATCCCATTTTTGAATATTCTGTATTCAGTCTGGCTTGATCACTCATCCTTTCGAGCTGATTCTTTTCCCATCTGCAGGTATCGGTATGACCGATTAAACAGAATACTATGAACAAAGTGGCAGCAAACTGCTCTTGTGTGCTAGCAATCTGGGACAGCAACAGCAAGCATAGTAAAAATGTGGATAGGTAAATAAATAAATAATAAACCAGCTCTATTTCCAGAAAACTGAAGCCGAAGTTACACAGTTTTTCTGTTAAAACTCACAGAACACCATGCAAGATGCATCTCAAACAAACAGTATTTTCAAGCAAGTTAACAGCTCCGTGATTAATTTTTCACACGCGTTCCAAGAATGGCTACTGTTCACTCACTGCAGTGGAATCTTTTTACTTTCAAAATCTTCTAATAGCAGGTATTCCTGCCCTTCTTCCAAGAGAAAGGGTGACCCCTGGCTGGTTCATAAACATAGGAAAGATGAGGAAGACAACGTTTAGTATTTCAATATACCTCTCGAATGAGCCAGAACAATAAGGGTTTTCGAAACAGTCTTTGGCTGCATTTTTTTAGTTGGGATTCAAATATGAACCTTAAAATCTCACTTAATGCTACAGTTGCTTTCTCAAGTCAACAGTGATCAGAGCATAAAACTATTTTTGACAAAATATAGCACGATTATTACAGCTACAAGTGCTGCATCCAAGATATTCTCACAAGAGTACGTAGTGCATTGCATGACACTGTAATGAAGCATTTCAAAATTATTTGTTAGTTCTGAAACACCACAATTCTTAAAAATTTCAAAGAGACAGCTCAGATACTTCCTCTGTGTTTCACAGTTACCCACCTCACCCGGAAAAGAACCCCAAAGCCTTGAAATAAAGTTCAGCGGTTCCCAGGTAATCCATAAAGTAACATGCAAAATTAGAACAGAAAACATTCCCTCTCCATATCGGCAACTTTAAAATCTAAAGGGAAAACATCATAGAAATAAACCATTCAAGTAACAATACCTGCCTATTTATAGAATCATAGAATCATTTAGGTTGGAAAAGACCTTTAAGATCATCCAGTCCAACCATTAACCGAACGTTACCAAGTCACCTAACATTACCATTTAATTGCATCTACTAAGCTTTACACTTTACACTAAGGAAAAAAGTTTGTATGAAATACACAAGTAAATTGTTCCAAGTCTGGAAATTAATAACTTGTTTAATTTTTTTCTTCACCTGTGTTGTGGTTTAACCCAGTAGGCAGCTAAACAGCTGTTTGCTCACTCCCCACCTCCCCAGTGGGATAGGGGAGAGAATCAGGAAAAAAAAAAAAAAAGTAAAATTAATGGATTGAGATAAAGACAGTTTAATAGGGCAGAAAAGGAAGGGGAAAAAAGTAATAATAATACACAAAGCAAGTGCTGCACAATGCAATTGCTCACCAGCTGCTGACCGATACCCAGACAGTCCCCGAGCAGCGATCGCTGCTCCCTGGCCAACACCCCCCAGTTTCTACGCTGAGCATGACGCCATATGGTATGGAATAGCCCTTTGGGCAGTTTGGGTCAACTATTCTGGCTGTGCCCCCTCCCAGTTGCTTGTGCACCTGGCAGAGCATGGGAAGCTGAAAAGTCCTTGACTAGCATAAGCAGTACTTAGCAACAACTAAAACATCGGTGTGTTATCAGCATTCTTCTCCTACTAAATCCAAACCACAGCACTATGCCAGCTACTAGGAAGAAAATTAACTCTATCCCAGCCAAAACCAGGACAACCTGTAAGGTTGTGGATTGGGGTAGTGCACAGAGTGCCCTCTAACTGATCATCTTAGTAACATGCTATGCAGATACACAAAGCTCTCATTCCATAGGAAAAGGTCTATATGCTCTACCTCGGTCCAAATACAGCAGAACACATTTGTACGAGACATGCAACATAAGCAGTCCTTTCAGGTGGAACTGAAACTCCAGCATAACTATTATTCTGAATTTTCATGATTACAGCCTTCTTAATAAAAGGACATAGCTATTTAGTGAATTTCGTTAACTATAATACACTAAGCCCATATAATTTCCAAGTAATCACAATGCCAATGTTTTGCCGTCTTCAAATATTCCTATAAAAAACATCACTTATTTAAACAATCTCTACACTCCCAAAGACTTTGTTCAGTTCTTTCTCAGTTCCCTTGGCATTTTATCTCCATTGAACCTTCTGCCTTCCCCAACACCAAAATACCTTCTCTTCTGTGTCACCAGTCTCTTCCTCAAGAAAGTTTGCAGGCTATTCATGGACTCTATATCTTGCCATGTTTTGTGCCCCCTTGTATACTCTCCTCAGACTTTACTCCCTTCACTTCACCCACACATCACACAACTGCAGAAGTCAGGTCAGAAAGTCAATTACACATCCCAACCGTGATCATTCCTAAAACACACTTCATGTGGTGGTGTTAGAAATCCACTCTGTGCCCATCCCTCGCAGAAGCAAATGGGCACTCAAGACACATTTCCGATGAGCCAGGGCACTGAACTGAAAAGTCAAGATTTCTCTGCCAAGCTACTCTGGAAACAATACCAAACTTTTTGATAGCTTTTGGCAGGAATGGTGACATACCTCTTGGGCACCATCAGCTTCTAAACAGCACTAAACCTTGAAACCTTTAACACTGAGAAAGCAGACACTGGGTTTCCCCTTTTCTTGCAGGAGGCTTTGGGGCACGCCGTGCTGCCTGTAGCCTGCACATTCCATACTCTGGGGGAACTGGAGGCTCATTCCTCCGTTTTATAAGAAAGATTATAAAGGGTGGATACTTTTCTACCATGTAATCATCAGTAAACGGAGCAGGAAACTCCTCAGGCACAACAGAGCAAGACAAAAATGCCAAGGGAGCAGAGAGCACATGGCACAGGTAAAACTGGCAGAGCATCAAGGTGTTGATGAAGAAGGCACCACCACTAAAAGGTATGGCCCTAAGGGAGCATGTGAAATACTCATGAAAACACTTTCAAAGGAAGCTTTCCTCAGCGCTCCATGTACTTGTCTGCAATCACAAAAAGAATATGACGTTTTGTTTATTTTTCTGGAAATACCCCAGCAGATTTTATTTTAAGTTACTGCAGAAAAGCAGCTTGCCAGAAAGATTTATAAGGTTCTCCCACAGAATACTCAAGGTTGGAAGGGACCTCTGGAAATTATCTGGTGCAGCTCTTCCAATACCTCTAAACAAAACTAACTTCAGAGTCAGGTGAGGCTCCTTAGGAGCTTGTCCAGTCAAGTTCGTTTATGGTTGGCTTTTTTTTAATTCTCAGAGGACAGAGATTCCATTAAGTCCCTGGGCAGCCTGCTCCAGGGATGGCCACCATGATCCATTCTGAAAAACCGTAACGATATTTCCCAGGTAAATACCACAAATATCATATCCTCCTACGCAGGAGGTGCTGTACATCTATTTAAGTTAGAAGTAGCAGTTGGAGAAATAAATATACATTTAATTCAGTAGAAGTTCTCAATTCTTTCCTTAAACTTTCCTATTACACGCTTCTCTGGAGAACTGACTGTGTGGGTACTCTTTACTCAGTAAGAAATAAGGCTTATTTGAGCTTGTTTTTAAATATCTGTTATTTGGAAAAAGTTAAAATTCAGGATACAGAAATTGAGTGGTTTAAGTCTCCTGCATTCCTAGTTATCATAAAATAATTATCTTTTACTCTTGCTTGAGAGTCTGAACCACCTAAGAGTCAACAAATACCATTCAAGGGTTGCTATATTCAATGATGTGGTAACCTGGCAGGTGATAATAAATATCAGCATGTTTTACTGAATCTCTTCCATGAAACCTTTAACTGGCAAAACTGGGGCACCAAATACCAGAAGGGAGAAAGGCTTTCTCCAGCTTTTTCTAGTCCTAGACTGGACTAAACACACCAGGTTGTGGCTAAAGAAAGGGTACTTCTCTGTTCTGTGCCATGCACCACTCCAAGCTATAACTGCATTTATCTGATACTTCATATTGGCAATTTCTGTCCACACTTTTGAAGAATGCAATATGGGTCTAGCACTGATCAAACAGCTTACTATTGCTGCAAAAAGTTCAAGCATAGAAAAAAAAGAAGCAGAAGTTACAAGCAAGTTCCCCCCGCAGATTATGTGCATCCAAATGTTCAAAGACTCGGCAGTTAAAAAAGTGCTTTTAGCACAAAGTAACACAAATAAGTGCTATTAAGAAAAAACTGTCACTTACCTCATAGGTTCAGGTTTTTTACTTTGACAGTTTATTAGCAGTAGGTAGTCTTGAGGATCTTCTTGACCAGAGGAAGACTCCAGTGGGGGGATGTTAATAAGCTGATAAGGAGGAGGTAGGGAAGATTCTGCTTGCATGGAAGGCGGTGAAGTGTTGATGGGCAAGGGTAACTCAGCAGATGGTTGTAAAGAACTGACTGGTGGCTTCACAGCATCTGCAAACATAGAAGCAAAGCATTCTTTTTACAATGAAGATATAGTCTTACAATACTATAAAAAAAAATTATTAACAGAAGATGAGAAAAGTCAGGGTTTTTAATTCAAAATTGTAAAATCAGTGGACATAAGAACATCTGGATATTAACATTTGTTTCAGAGCATTTATATATAAATCTTTATAATCTCTTTATATTTTTTCAAACTGTAACCAAGTTCATAAGTATGCCTTGGAAACAGAGGTTATGCCTTATTTAATGACTTATTTAACCTGTTTTGTGGTCACAGTAAGAACAAAGATGCTGACGGCTGCAGTAAGACAGCTAATAACACAAATCTGTTGTTTTAATCAAGAGCAGACAAAGGCCCATAGGTTATTACTTGAATATGGTAACCTGAGTCAGTATTCATCCCTTTTTGACCAAGGTCACTTCAGCATTTGAGATTAGTCACCAGTCAAGAACTGGCCTTTCTCAATATCTGAAAAGCAACAGGAAAAATGCTGGTTTTGCAATGGAAGATCCCTTATAACTATAAAAATAATGCAGAGGTACCATAGGTACCATATTCCACTAAGCCCCCTCATTACATACCCCAACTTTTTATTTTAGTGCAATAAATCAAGGAGTTGTGGTTTCTTCTTGTTGTTTGGTTTGGGGTTTTTT